TTTCCTTGGTAGGGGTTAAAGTTGGGACTGGGCAAATTCTTGACAAAGAACTATATTCAGGTTTCTTCCAAGGACAAAATAAGATGCTTTTTGCTTTGATTGATTTTTTTTTTCCCCAAGTGAAATTGGAGGAGATCAACTTTATGTTTTAGCACACAATTTGGGTTAATCAGAATTAAAAATTAGAGTTTCTTGAGCACCTCCCCCTCCGAAAGAAGACTGAGTTTCCTTATACTGCTTCTTTTTTTTTTTTTAAAGATTTTATTTATTTATTTGAGAGAGAGAATGAGATAGAGAGCACGAGAGGGAGGAAGGTCAGAGGGAGAAGCCGGGGAGCCCGATGTGGGACTCGATCCTGGGACTCCAGGATCATGATCTGAACTTCCTTATACTGCTTCTTAAAACTACTTCTTAGAGGTTGAAAATGAAACATTCCTTTCTTTAGAAACTTACGGAGCTACAGCTTTGTTTTTGTGATTACTAAAAAAAGTCATCTATTGTAGAGAAGAGCTCTGTGTATCATGAGTTATCTTGGCTCTTTAGAGAGGAAAATGATTACACTATAATCTTGCCTCTACACCATTTGCTGAAGAATGACATTATGTGTAAGATGCAATCATTATGGGAATGAGAGGTAGGGAAAGGCCAAGTATGGAAGAAGGCTTCACTTACAATGCAGTGCTCGTAGCTCTCAGGGAAAGTCTATTGTGCGTATAGTTCCAGTCATGGCAAGTTAAGGAGAAATATATCTAAAGGAAGATGAATTCTGAGGAAATTATAGACCATTTTATAATATCCAACAACAAATGATATGTGCACCATGTAAAATGTGCCAAATTTTCCTTTATTAACTTTTATAAAGGTGTAAATATATTTCTTAGCTCCCACTGATTTAGATTTGGGAAAAAAAAAGAGGGAATATTCATGAGTCCCAATATAAATAAGAAAATGATAAATAAATAAATTGGAGAGAAGGGGCATATCTCTTATGTGGAAGAATTCCAAATAATTGATGTAGCTACTTGCCTCTTAAGGAAGTGGAGCTTAATTTCCTATTGCTTGAGTGTGGGCTATGATTTATCACTTAATGCCAAAATTTTGAGTATAAAAGTGGGGAAAGAATTTACTTAACAGTGGAGAAATCTGGCAAACACTACCTTGGCCAGGTGATAAAGGTTAACATCAGTAGGAGTATCATGTTGATGGCATGTACCCTTGGTATGATATGATCTCATTGAAGGGCACCTCATCTTTGTAAACTACCTCTAAAAACCCATAATCTAACCATGTGAAAACATTAGATAAACCCCAATTGAAGGACATTCTACAAAATACCTGACCAGTACTCCACAAAAATGTTATGGTCATCAAAAACAAGAAACTATCATAGCCAAAAGTAGCCTAAGGAGACATGATGACGAAATGTAATGTGTTCAACTGGATGGGATGCTAGAAGGGAAGCAAGAACATGATGGGAAAACCGTGAAATCAGAATAGTGTGTGGACTTGAGTTAATAGTAATGTACCAAAGTTGGTTCATTAGTTGTAGCAGAGGCACTATAGTAATGTAAGATGTTCACAATAGAGGACACTAAGTGGGAGGTAGATCAGAATGCTACACTATTTTTGTAACTTTTCTATAAATCTAAAGCTACCCTAACATAACAAGTTGATTTAATAATGTTTAACATACTGCTGTATTGACTGTAACAGAGCTCCTACATATTAATCAACATGTCTCTTTTTCTCCCACACCGATATACCAAATCCTATGGCATAAAGGGTCATTTTCCTAACACATAAGAATACTTCATCTTTCAGGCCAATGTAATATCAGCGGAGTCAGACTTATTTTGAGAAATTCAGATTTTTCAATAATATTTAGGTCATGCCCTTAGTAGTATGACACAAATGCTCAAAAGATAATGTCCACAAACCCTTATTTCTCAATGGCTTTAAAAGATGTAACATCCTTCAACCAGCTATCCAATATACTTATATTTCATGTGAATGTTACTGACATATTAATAAGACAATGTATTCTCTGAAAGTAACAATCTTTGCTAGATAACTGAGGGCAATGTTCATTTATTGATCATTTGTTAACATGCTAGGTAAGGGAGTAAGGTCCGATGTACCACTGTTTTAGAACATGAATGAGATTATTTCTTTGCTACTCCATACCTGGCCTTTAGAATTATAAGACATCAGGATTCTGGGAAAATTAGAAAAGATTTCTTTCATACTGTTTCTAATTTATCATTTTATTGTGAAAAGGGGGAAAAAGTATTGGTGTCACCGAATGTTTACTTAATAAAACAAAACAATTACGGATTTCCGAAACTGTTAATGAGAAATGTGCTTTTGTTAATACCTAACAGTACAATTTTAAAAGTTCAGTCAATCAAAAATTTAACCATAATAAGTTGGTCAGAATTACCTCTCTAATTCTGCTTTTGGGAAAAGATGCAAATGCCATTAAAGAAAGCTAGAAAAAAAAATACATGCAACTTCCAGAATATATTTCAGGGCTAAAAATAAGATTCAGTAAAAGCACTTGTACAATCTGTATCTACTGTACTTTTTCCAGTGATACCTTGTATTAAGGAAAATGGCCATGATGCTTGATAGTGAGAGAAAAGAAAGTGTTCTGTAGGGAATTCTTAACTAAGGAATTGCAGAGAGTCAACCAACATATTTTAGAAATTTTTTTACAGTTAGGTATTTACTATGGAAAAAAAATAATGGGTCAGGAGAGACCGACAATAAACGCAGATTGCTGTTTTTATATGCCTCTTTAATATGTTCAGTTCAGTGAATATGTATTTTGCATTTTGTTAGACTAGTGTGCGTGTGTGGTAAGTAATGAGAATTATAGCATCTCCCTTTCTCAGAACACCTATGGTGTGTCAAGCTTTATGATGCCAAGCATCTGACAAACACCATCTAAAACTTAACACAACTCTGCAAGGTGCATACTATTACTATTTAACAAGAGTGGGAACTAAGAACAGTAGAAGTTAGGGAACTGAGCAAAGTCCCACAGCTTGCGAGTGAGCCTTTACAAACTGTCTGGCTGCCTCAAATGCCCAAACTCTTTCCACCAGAGCATACAGCTTTGTTATACTTTCTAATTCTGAACACTATTGAATTCAATGTTTATTACTAACCTGGTGAGTCAGGTCATTGCACCTCTCTGGGCTTCAGGTTTCTCTTGGGTAAATGAAATTGGCTGGCTGACTTCTAATGTTTCTTCCAGTTTTAAAATAATAGTAACATTGATTTATATACAGGATTAAGAAAACTAAAATGTTTTTGTTAAAAGAAGGTCATGAACACTAGTCCTTACTAAATTTTGTGATGATGGGGATCTATCTAGAACTAGATATTCATGTGATTTCTTTCAAATCTCTACAGTCCTGTTATGCCAGGACTAGTGATCTTAACCGTTTTCAATGTTATTCCCTAAAGTTTACATACAAGTGGAAATTTCATATTTTTGTGGCACTGCATAAACTAGATACTTAAATATGTGCCTCACAAAGAATTAATAACTTGCATTCAAATATGAAGGTAAAGAAAACTATTTTTTTCTGGATCTGAAAATAATCAAAATATCAGTTTATTTTAATTCACATTTATTTAAATATAACAATTATTTTCAACAAATGAAAATACAAGCATATTTATAAGATGGTAGACATAAATATAAATGAAATGTATTTCAGACAAAATTTAAGAAATATATTAGACAAATTGATGACATACTTAACACTTAGCTTCAAGGTATATTAACATGGATGTTAAAAAGGATGTTTTCACAAAAACTACTATAAAATGTTCACATTTGTGTTTGTTAGTAATAGGTCACATTTCCTAGACTGATGTTTTATGAAAACTGTAGATTTAATGTAATCATTCACCTCATGTGGTAACATTATTTGTAAATGAAGTGTATTTTTGTCAATAGAGATATTCATTTAACTTTTAAATAATATGGCATTTTTATCAAGACAATGCTACCTTTATTAGACAAACATGCACAACACATTAAAACTCGAATGATTCACGTACCTTTATGCACAGTGTTTAGTTTTGCTATGGCACTCTATCTTTGTGAAAAATATACTTACAATTTGGCACAGAATCAATAAATTGTATTGCTCCTAATCAAAACAAATGTGATTTAAATTTTCCATGCATGGAAAATACTCTATCACAATTTGCTTTTTCCCTTTACATTTTATTGACCAATGGCAGTTCTTTACTGCTTTAGTTGGCATAAATAATGGATAGCCAAGAACTAAAAGTCATAGTTAGGTGTTTTGCCTACACTCTAATTGGAAATGAGTCGATTTCAGCTTTTCTAGCAGCAAAACATTTCCATCTGTATTGTGGCCAACAAATTTCTAAATAAGGGTGTTATCAACAATAATATGTATCATCATGAGATGCTTTTCTTTAGGAGGCAAAGAGGTTGAAAGGAAACGTGGATCTCTTCATAAACTGGGAACATATGTGGTAAGGGGAGCAAATGCCAACTGAATCAGAAGCAGGGGAAGTTCTTTGGAAAGCAGTGACGATACACGCTCTGGAGTAGCAACGAGGCAAAAAACAAAGGCAGGCCCACGGGAACCATTCAGGGTGGAAAGGGCTCTGCCATGGCTTTGAGGAAACTGAAATGTATCACATGTATCCCTCAAAAGAAATAGCATCCAGAGCAGGGACAGCATTCCTGGAGCAGCAAACTACCACTGCTTTTTAGGAAAAGCTTTACATTTCCACCTCGGTGTCTAAATCGGGACTGAAGAAATTAAGCTAACTGGCAACATTTTTTTTTTTTTTTCTGAATTCATTCATAAACATTGTGGAAGAAGAAAGGGAGTAACATTAATTCAAGCTTCCTCCAAACCACAGAAGAGAAATTACACTCATTCTAAGCGTAGACTTCAGAGTTAGGGTGACTAAGAAAAGTGCCATAGCACTTTCTCACCGTTCTCCTAAGATAAACTTGAGGGCTTGTATTTTGAGAGACTGGTTGAAGGAATCTGCTCCTTTCATAAAACCTTGATAGCCTAGTTTTTATATTTATTATCTGGGGGAAAGGAAGCAGAATTAAGTCCACCTTTTAAACAAATAGAGTAATGAACATAATGTTTTCTTTGCTTTAAGATCCTTGCTTTTCTGAGAACCTTTAAGCAGTGAAATGGCAAAGACCATCAAACAGGTTAAATAAAATGGGCAAACTTTTGTTTAAAGCTGTTACAGTGCAAATAGACATAAAGATTACAAATCACAGAGCACCGAATTTTCAAGAGTGAAATCGTACCAAAACCGTGATAAATTTTCGCTGACATCATAGGAGAGTAAGTGGTCTGGAAGGTCACTGATGGTGCCCTGCACGGCCAGGACGTGTGGGGCCAAGGTGAAGGGTACGTCGTTCAGGAGTTCGGCCATTAATGAGTTGTTTTCCAAAGTCTGGCCTGCCTTATTTTCCATCTCGGGGCTTGCTACAGTCACACAGGATGAGTTTTCTTTGCCAGTCTAAAAATACATATATATTTAAGTCATTTAGACCTTGTGGACTTTGAGGTTTAGTAGTGGTAAACGGGGCATTAATATAGCAAAATGATTGAGAAATGTGGACTATAGAAATATTCCCAGATTAGAATGCTGTTATTTACTTGTGAAATACCTCCATCTGGATCTCTACTAGGCTTTGAAATGAATTCTAATCCCTACTCTTACTCAGACTGACCACCCATGGCCCCCTCAAATTCAAATTGGCATTCTTGCTATTTCCCTAGCCCAGATAATGTCTTTGTATACAAAGTCTGGCTCACAAATATGATGTATGCTTTCAGGCTCTACAGAATTCCCAGCTTCCCTGTGAAATCTTTTATCAACATAGTCCAAAGTGACCTTGTCCGCTTCAGAGAGAATATGGGGCAAAATGCCTAGGATATTATTTGGCATTTGCTGTTTGTATCCTTGCTAGTGGTTGTTTCATTATACATATGTCTTATCCCCAACTAGAGTCTCGGGTACTTGAGGGCAAGAAATCTATTTGACATCTCTTTGTATTCTCCACCTTGCATAACTTACCTTGCATACTTTGCATGTATGCATGTATCCTCCACCTTGTATACCCTGATACATACTTGAACATTTACCTCGAATGCGAACCATAAGTATTGACTGACTGCCTGACTTTCACTGGAACTAGCATGTTATACTACCCAAGGTATTCAAATAAGAATTGATATATCTTGTTCAATTTCTTTAAAACTGGTACACCTTGCATATGGTACTTTACCAAAAGATGTGCACCAGGGTGTTCATAGGACTCTATGCAAGCTCTAAACTGGAACCGAACTAAGTATCCATCACCAGGAGAATGGATACAAAACTGAAGTGTATTTACAAAAATGAGAACCAATGACCTGCTGCTCCAAGCAGCTGAAACCTACCTCAAACCAGGTTAGGCAAAACTTGACTCCCCCACCCCCTCAACCTGGTGTCATGCAGAATAAAACTGTGGAGTCTTTACAGAGGCCTACAGGGCCCTTCCTGACCTGGCCCCGGGTCACCTCTCTGCCAGTACCCCCAGCTAGGCTGTCCGGGCTCCCTCCTCTCTAGGCCCACTGCCCCCTGCTGTTGCTCGTGCACACCCAGCCTGCTTCTGCCTTAGGCCTTTCCTCTCCAGTCCCTCTGCCCAGGAGGTTCTTCTCCCAGACATACCCAGCTTCCTTCTCTCACAGCCTTCTCAAGGAGGCCTTTCCTGACCACTTTATTTAAACTGTAGCCTGGCCCTTACCTCCCGCACTCCAGCACTCCATCTCCCTCTCCTGTTTTTTCCTCTCCATAGTAGCCCTCAGCACCTTGTCCTATGGTATATGAGTTATTCTGATATCACCCCTTGGAAGCTTAAGGAGTTTCACTTCCCATGTTCACTGCTGTACCCCCAGTGCCCAGATCAGTGCCCAGTGCTCAATAACTCTTTGTTGAATGGATGAAAGCAGACAAGATTTTTCCCTGCATGGGGGCTCACATTGTAATAATTGTAAGTGCTGATAAATTCCTCCTAAGTCTGGAGGAGAATGGTTTTCTGTGTAAGAAATAGCAGTTTTGTTAAACTTGTTATTGAAATGGAAAATGAATACAGAAAAGGGTACATCGTAAGTGTACAGCCTGCTCAGTTTTAACCAACCAATCACCTGTGAGCAACCAGCACCCAGATCAAGAAACACAAGTGACCAGCTCCCCAGAGGCCAAGCAGGTGCTCTTTCAGTCACAATCAACTCCTTGCCCCTCAGTCACCATTCTGATTTCTAACAGCACAGACTGGTTTTACCTGTATTTTAAATGAAGTCATAATACAGTATGAACTCTTGTTTCTGGCTTCTTTCACTTAACATTTTATATATGAGATTCATCCATGTTGCATGAGGGCTTTAAAAATTTTTTGAAGAACATATTGTTACAGAGGGGTAAATTCTTACTGATGACTACACACGGGGGCGGGGGGGTGGTGGTACTGTGCCCAGGGAAGGAAGCAGGAAGACCAGCTGGGAATGAGAAATGATTGTGGATTAGGTGGTGATACTAAAGGTGAGACAGAATGTTTGGACTGGAAAGACCAAGAAGAAAGCCAATAGGCTTTGCTGATGGAATGGATGTGGGGTGTGAGAGCAAGAGTGGAGCAAAGATGAAGCCAAAGTTTGTGGCTTGGAGCAATAAGGATGGAGTCTCTATTCTCCATTTCCCGAGATGGGAAAAGAATGTCAGCAGGGATCGGGTGTGGCAGGAAGAGGAGGAGCTGTTTTGGACATTCCAAGTGCCTTACAGACGTCCAAGTGGAGCTGTTCATAGGTAGGGGGATCCGACAGGAGTCTGGAGCTGGGGGAGATCGCGAGGAGAAAGTCTGCTTGGTGCTGTGTTTAAAAGATGATGGGAGGTGGGCGCCTGCGTGGCTCAGTCAGTTGAGCATCCGACTCTGTTTGGGCTCAGGTCATGATCTCAGGGTCATGGGATGGAGTCCCATGTTGGGCTCCACACTGAGTGGGGAGTCTGCTTCTCTCTCTTCCTCTCCCTTTGCCCCTCCCCCTGCTTGCACACGCACTCTAAAATAAATAAATAAATCTTAAAAAAAAGATGATGGGAGGAAGCCAAGTAAAGACAAATATGAGAACAGACAACATTTTGAGACATGGTGTTACAGATGGGAAAAAGATATATGGGCCAGTAGCTAGAAAGGGATGTGGGGTCAAGAGAGGTTCCTCTTGATTTTTCTTTTGCTGTATGAGTTGAGAGAAATGACACTGTTGTTATGCTAATGAGAAGCTCTAGAAAGGAAAACTCCATGGAGATTCTGTAGGAGAGGAACTGTTCTCTTCACAAGGCATCCCCAGCACCTAGAACATAGGCCTCCAAGAAATATTTGTTTAGTAAATGACTCTGAATTAACCAAACACATCCCTAGCAAGAGTCATCTTCACTTCCGGTGAAAATAAAACACCAGAGTACTTTCTTAGGACTGTAACTAGAACAGTGTAACCACACCCTGCTACGACAAAGCTTATTAGAAAGGTCCGTGGATGCAGTGGACAGAACCTGCCTCCTGAAACCTGCGTGAGACTTAAATACGAAGGATCCCTGGGTCACAGATGAGAGCACAGGTATCAGTGAGCCATGATGCCACAGTTCCAGCCTCTTCAGAGGATCTCACCGCGCATTCGCTGCTTTCCTCAAGATGACCTATGCACGGAGGCTCTGGTTGCCGTGGAGCAGCACAACAGAGTGTTTAGAGCACAGATTCTAGAACCACACTGCTTGGGTGCAAATCCAAGGTCTCCTGCTTATTGTCTTGGGCAAGTTATTTAACTCCTCCATGCCTCAGTTTCCTTGGCTATATTATGAGATCAAGAACAGTACCTATTTCACAGGATTGCGATGAGGATTAATGAAATGATATTTATTCATAAGTAAGTAGAATAATGCTTAGCACATGTTAAAGTGAGTGAATAAATTAAAACTTTGGGAATGGCTAATGCCACTTGGCTTTAGATAAAATTTAGGATTCACCCATCTCTCTCTTTTTTTAAGATTTTATTTATTTATTTGAGAGCGAGAAAGTGTACCAGCGGGGTGGGGAGGGGAAGAGGGAGAGAGAGAATCCCAAGCAGACTCTGTGCTGAGTGTAAAGGCTGATGCAGGGCTCCATGCGGGGCTTGATCTCATGACCCCGAGATCACGTCTGGAGCCGAAATCAAGCGTCAGATGCCTATGGGGCGCCTGGGTGGCTCAGTTGTTTAGCGTCTGCCTTCGGCTTGGGGTTGTGATCCCAGGGTCCTGGGATAGAGCCCCACATCTGGCTCCCCGCTCAGCAGGAAGCCTGCTTCTCCCTCTCCCACTCCCCCTGCTTGTGTTCCCTCTCTCGCTGTCTCTGTCAAAAAAAAAAAAAAAGTCGGATGCTAATGATCAAGCCGCCCGGGCACCCCTCTTCGGTGTTTGACAGCACCTTACCCTCCCCTCCGCTCTCATATCTTGCTTCTCTCTCAGTCTCATGCACAAATGTTTCCTAGATCTATCCGTTAGTAGCAGCCCATGCTTGAACTTTCTGCTCTTTATTGTGTACAGAACGTTCTCCAGTTTCATCTCCTTTCTTCAACAAAAGCATCCCTGAAACATCACCTTCTCCACTACCAAGGAGGTATAGTACCCAGACCGGTTTGCGTTCTCAACACCCAACTTCTAAGGCTTAACCCTCGGGCAGACTGCATCTTGGATAGTAAAGGAATTGAGACGTATGGTTCCTTGTTCAAGTTCTCCTGATAAAACTGCCGTATCCTTCACCCGCCGGGCCTCACTTCTCTAGTCTGTGAAATGATGAGGGAGGGAAAATAATCATGAGGGGGAGGAGGATGGCAGCAACCGGCATAAACTGGGCACTTCCTTTGTGCCAGTCTCCATCTGGGCTGTTTAAATGTACTCACCCATTTAAGTCCTACCACAGCTTTGTGGGGTGTGTACCATTATTAGTCCCATGTTAAAAACAAGAGGGCACAGAAGCATACAAGGTGAAGGAAGTCGTCCCAGGTTACAGAGCTAGTCTGTGGTAACACTGAGAATCAAGCCCAGTGACCTTTAATGCTCCACATTCAAAGACCCCGCACACCTCAGCTTTGGATAGATTGGGCAACTGAATGAACAAAGCCCTGAAAATTGAGGGGATGGTATTATAAAATATGGCAGGTGCCAACATAGCATATCCTGGCCTAATTCAGAAGGAAAAAAGACTCTGATATCTTTTACCATTAGGAAGAGAGGACTGAAAAAATCATTAAGGTGACAGACCTTAGACTGAAGAACGACAGAAAAGCAACTGTAATTTATGAAATATTTATCCCCAGAAATGAATCTACCAGTAGTCTGGATAAACCACAGGGAAACGCTGGGGTCAGTGAAACAAGATTGTCTATAAGTTGATTACTATTGAAATGGAGAGGTAGAAGGTACGCGGGAATGTGCTACAGTATTCTTTC